CACTGCCTCCTGTGTTTCAGCACATAATCGCTTGGAACACCTATTGACTACTTAATAAAATACAAAAATCATTTACCTGTTATATAATGTTAATGTACCAGATGCATTTACAATAAATACGCAAAATAATTGTTAATGTTTGTTTTATTTCTTTTCTGTTATATTTTAAGCCTTAAAGACTGTTTTAGACTATAACATAAAATGATATAAGAAAATGTTATACTAAGGTTTGTCATAATGTAAAATAGAAAACAAAATCTGTTAACAAAAAATGTTATAGAAATTAGAACATGTCCTATTTTGATAACAATTATTAGTATTGTTCTGAAGCTATTTTCTTGTGGCATTGTAAATTAATTACTATTAAACTGAGAATAAGCCACAATTAAAGATAAAAATACGTTTATTGACGTTTCAATTTCCACTTCGGAAATCGTTCTCAAAATACAAACAGTAAATTAAACAAATTTTGTTTTTTGTTACATAGTGAAAAATTCTTCTAATAATTTAATTTTATCTGACTCATTTATATTGACAATTCAGACATACATTATGCATTTTAAAGTAGACGACTTTAAAATGATATTGCCAATATTGTTGAGTTGCGCTCCTGGGACGACTTTACTTATAAGATAGTTCATTCGATTACATAAATCAACTTTAACTTGAGAATATCCGTCAGAAAAAAATCATAGCATGTAATTCGTCTTTAAAAAGACAAACACATGACATGATGACAGTAAAATTCTCCTGTTAGTGATTCCATAGTAAATTATGAGGGAAAACCAGGAAAAAAACCTCATAATACTATCCCGACATTGTAAGTATTTGTTCGTGAATTTAGTTTACCTTCAACAAACATCAAAATTCTGATTTTATATGTTACGTTATTTAAAAAACATAAATGATGTATCCTCTATATGTTACTGACTTACTAATACTGGTATTTTCTTATTAATAACTTCCTCTTTCAATATTGGTAACCAGATCCTACTACATTCTGCCGAGGAATTTGCGACACAATTCGACTCATTGCATACTTACAGCCGCTTCTTTGATTTTTTTTTTTACCATCCGTTTCTTTTAGGACTACATTTGAATTATTCCATTGAACCCTATGTTCTAATGTAGTCTAAATGTAGTCCTAAAAGAAACGGATGGTAAAAAAAGAAAAATCAAAGAAGCGGCTCTAATTATGCTAAATGAGGCCAATTGTGTCGCAAATTCTTCGGCAGAATGTAGTAGGATCTGGTTACCAATATTGAAAGAGGAAGTTATTAATAAGAAAATACCAGTATTAGTAAGTCAGTAACATATAGAGGATACATCATTTATGTTTTTTAAATAACGTAACATATAAAATCAGAATTTTGATGTTTGTTGAAGGTAAACTAAATTCACGAACAAATACTTACAATGTCGGGATAGTATTATGAGGTTTTTTTCCTGGTTTTTTCCTCATAATTTACTATGGAATCACTAACAGGAGAATTTTACTGTCATCATGTCATGTGTTTGTCTTTTTAAAGACGAATTACATGCTATGATTTTTTTTCTGACGGATATTCACAAGTTAAAGTTGATTTCATGTAATCGAATGAACTATCTTATAAGTAAAGTCGTCCCAGGAGCGCAACTCAACAATATTGGCAATATCATTTTAAAGTCGTCTACTTTAAAATGCATAATGTATGTCTGAATTGTCAATATAAATGAGTCAGATAAAATTAAATTATTAGAAGAATTTTTCACTATGTAACAAAAAACAAAATTTGTTTAATTTACTGTTTGTATTTTGAGAACGATTTCCGAAGTGGAAATTGAAACGTCAATAAACGTATTTTTATCTTTAATTGTGGCTTATTCCCAGTTTAATAGTAATTAACCAATTATTAGTATACACGCATGCGCAGTTACAATGTTGTATCCTATTTGGTAATATCTTCTCGAATCAGTTCAAGAAGTTCATTAAATTGTGGCTTTTAAAACAACACGACCTTCCTGTCTTTTTTGAAGCCAAGCTGTAGGCCACATATTTCGTTGGCCTTTTTTCTTGCTTGTCTGAATTAAAAGAAATGTCGTAATTTAATCAGCAGATAATAGGAGAATTTTCTTATCCATCATAAATATATATGTCTTTGTTAAAGCAAACAAAGTTTGTAGGGGGAAGTCTTCCCGTTCCGGAATTATATAAGTTACCCTTCGGAAGCTCATTATGTGATTGTAACCGATCTGATTGTAACCGATAAGAACGAAAATTAAATAAAGTTCACGACATTCTCTCGTATTTCTGAAATTTTAAATAAAAATTGTACTGAATGGCAGTACCTATTAGTCCCGTAAATATAGAAAACATAATCGCCAAACAACTATCAATAAAAGAGTTGTCCTCAGTTTCATTTTGAAACAGACACAGTTGCTCAGTAATTTTAGATCAAAAGTCGGTAACCAGCGTCCCGAGGACCGCATGCGTAAACCGCTACTAAGAGCCGTTCCTCACAGCGCATCATTAATCAAAAACGCTTAAAAACAAGTTTTTATTTCATTGTTTTCTGTGATAACACTGTAAGCAGATCTGTTGTGCTGTGACGCGATATTGTCGCTCTTTTCGTTTATGAATGTGCGTTGCGAGCGTGAGATAGTCAAAGCTTATGTGAGATGTTGCTCATTCACTTAGTTGTCAATAGTCGGACGGCTAACACATATTTCAAATGCCTTTTAATCTCCCTTAATCTCATATCTTTTAATCCTCCCGACGACGCCAACACGATATGAGGTACGTTATACAATTTAATTGTTTTGCCCTAAGAAAGTGTATACCTAATATAGATAACTTGCAAGGCGACGAAGGACCAGAAATAACTAAAGAAGAACTATTATACGCTATAAAAATAATGAAAAATGGTAAATCACCGGGTCCAGACGTGCTCACATCAGAACTTCTTAAGCTTGTGGAAGGCGAATCAGTGAATATTCTACTCGACCTTTTTAACTGCATCTACAAAAGAGGAGAAATACCAAAGGAATTGCTACTTTCAACTTTTGTAACCTTACCAAAAAGCAAATGCAAAACAGTGCACTGACTACCGCACTATAAGCTTAATGGGGCATAAATTAAAAGTATTCATCAAAGTAATCCACTCAAGAATTAACAGAAAACTAGATGCAGATATTAGTAATACTCAATTCGGATTTCGGAACGGGCTTGGAACAGAGAAGCACTATTTGCACTTAACGTCATATGCCAAAGATGTCTAGATATAAACCAAGATATATATATATATATATATATATATATATTATATATATATATATATATATATATATATGTGCTTTATTGATTACAACAAAGCGTTTGATAAAATTTCGTCACGATCACTTAATGAAACTGCTAGTAGAAAAAAACTTGGATAAAAGGGACCTTAGAATTATCTCTAAGATTTACTACAACCAGAAAGCAAATATCCGAATAGAGCAAGAGACAACGGAGGAAATCGAGATCAAGAAAGGCGTAAGACAGGGTTGTATACTCTCACCGACCTTATTCAATCTATACTCCGAAGACATTATAAACACAGCACTTTCGGATCAAAATATAGGTATTAAGGTAAATGGTATCCGAATAAACAACTTGAGATATGCCGATGACACGGTACTAATCGCAGAAACTTGGGAAGATCTTCAAATACTAATTAACAAAATAGTAGAATGCAGTGAAGAACACGGATTATCACTTAACATAAGCAAAACAAAAATAATGCTAATATCTAAATCACCACAAAACTTCCCTGGCATAACCGTGCATGATCAAAGAATCGAACGTGTAAGAAGATATAATTACCTGGGAACTGTTATCAACGAAAATAATGATTGCTCTGAAGAAATCAGAACCAGAATAGAGAAAGCTAGAGCCACATTTACTAAATTGAAAAAGGTGTTCTGCGGAAGAGATCTAAGTCTAAAACTTAAAATTCGCCTTTTGAGATGTTACGTTATGTCAGTTCTCCTCTACGGGATGGAAACATGGACATTGAAAAAGATCGATACCAAAAAGATAGAAGCATTTGAGTTGTGGATGTATCGTAGAATATTAACAATACCCTGGACAGAGAAAGTAACAAATGTGGAGGTTTTGCGGAGAGTGCGGAAAGAGAAAGAGCTGATACTTACTGTTAAAAAGCGCAAACTACAATATTTGGGACATGTTATGAGGGGAGATAAATACCAGTTGCTGCAATTGATTATACAGGGAAAGATAATGGGAAAGAGATCTATAGGAAGAAGAAGGCATTCATGGTTGAAAAACTTGAGAGAATGGTACAATTGCACCAATTACCAACTGTTTAGATCTGCAGCATCAAAAAGACGCATAGCTTTGATGATAGCCAAACTTCGGAACGAAGACGGCACTTGAAGAAGAAGAAGAAAGTGTATAGTTAATTCGTTCAGCAAATTCCCAACTATCAATAAAAGCACGTGTTGATATTCGCGTTCTCATTCGTCAAGCGGCTATTAAATATAATTTATTACCTTAAGCCAGACAGATTCTCATGTTACAGATCCAAACTTGCGATTTTGTTTAAATTCAAATTGTATCGTGTTGGTTTTTAAGTTAATATATTGTGTGTTATATTTGTTACAGTTATTGTTAAGTTATTTACTGGTCGTGTTATTTTTTAGAGTTTAGTTTAATTGTGATTTAATGATTAAATATCAAGAAATTCTTACACTAATAGTTTCAAAAGTAAATATTTTTAAGAATCATACGATACACATCAGTACGACCCTGTTTGGCTTTCACGTGCGTATGTTGACAATTGGGAATATGTAAAATGAATGTGGTTTACCTATTACTATTTAATTATCAGTTGCTTTTATGCTGTAGTTGACTTCGAACTCTTTTCCTTTTTGTTTCATTTCTATTCATATTTTTGTACTTATGATTCCTGTTTGATCATATATAAAGATAATAGGAAGGTACAAATAAAAAAAGTTTTAAGTAAATTTAAATCATTTATTATGTGAAATCATGTACAATAAACTGTAACGCCAAAACTTAAACTAAGAACAACATATTTTAAATAGAGCATTGTTTTGGTTCGGCAAAACAATCCACATTAAATTTATTGTTCTAAATAATGTCCAAAATGTAATAAGAAAGTTAAGTTACAGAACTAAAAGGCATATGTAATATTGATTTAATTTTTTTTAGCAGTAAAACAACGGAAATATCACCATTCGTCTTCCAAGTACGCTTTTTTAATGTAGGCGTAATATTAATATGGTCTCCATAATATTGAGAAACTGTTTTGTTATACTTTTCTTGAAAGAGGAATGAGCTCGTCCTTTGTAAAAATATATTTCGGAAAGTTCAATGCCATTTAGCTCTTTGACATTAATAATAAATAGGACTGTAGATAATTTTAAACAATCTTTTTTAATTTTGACTCTTCCCCGTTTAATTTGAATGACAGAATAGCAACAAAATACCAAGGAGTTACATTAGAAAAATGTATATGTAGTAAAAGTAGGTTTTCCAACACTATTGTTGAAAATTATAAGTAGGCAAGTAGAAAATATTAACTCAAATAAACGAATGCTTACTGCCAAAACCTAAAACCAAGAAAAACATTTTAAATAGATCATCGTTTTGGCTCACCAAAAGAATCCACATTTAAATAAAAAACCTATAAAAGTAAAACAGTCCTATGCTTCTAAATAATGTCAAACATGTAATACGAAGGTCAAGTTATAGAACTAAAAGGCATATACAATATTATTTAATTAATAATAATAATGTTTATTTAGGAAGGTTATAGTTATGGTAACCTTCAGACACCTAGACCTCCTAAGACGGTCCATTGTATCAACCCTATCATATGGAATAGGCCCATAAGGACCTATTCTTCGGCGTTTATAGGGCCCAGGCTGTTCCGGGCTCCCATATCTGCAGTAATTCCCACATGCCAGATCTGGTAAGCTAGTGCTGGTCACTTCCAGAGGACATGTTGTAGCATTTCCGTTTTACCCCGTATATATTAAAAGACCGAAAAATATTCTCAATCTTTTTGCGCTAAAATTGATAATATAAGTATTTTCGAGTCTGTTCTAGTAAGAGAAGCAAATAAAATTTCTTTTAAATAGATTTTCACACTTAAAATTTTGTCAGAAAGAAAAGCTTTCTTTCTAACCAGCAAGAGGATTTTTTTAAACGACGTCCAATTTAAATAGTTTATGTAGGAATCTTCTTGTGTAGTGTTGCCCAGGAAATTTCTGTAAGTATTTTTTGATTTCTTTTTTTTTGTAGTTAGTTTCTCGTCTCTCAAATAAAGAAACCTTTATCCAAGACCTAGCTCTCCAACCAAAACACACACTTTAATTTATTTGCTTACCCTATCTCCAGCCCAGTAATTGTTCAGTCCCTCTTTCATCCCCCTATAAACAATTTTATATTGTTACAAGTCACACCCAACGTGGTAGGCAAATTAAATTGCTCCAATGTGAGGTTTCCTCCTCCTATCCACCAATCCAAGCTGATGAAAGTGCCACCAGAGTCTACAGTGGCCGGTAAGCATAGTAAGCACCAGGTAGCACCTTCTATGGTCTCTAAGATATTTGGATGGCCCTACTATGTGGAGCTTAGCATGTCTCATACCTCCCCAACTGTTCCAGGAATCCTGGAACCTCCAAAGAAGAAGCTCTCTAAGACTACCTCGACCAGTACTGAAGGGCACTCCAATGACAGGTTCGGGTGCCACTGACAGAGTGAATGAGCCTGTCGTGCCAGTGCGTCAGCCTGTTCGTTCCATTCCACGCCTGTGTGTTCTGGTACCCATACTAAGTTAACCCAATTAGTCCGAGCAACATCAGCAAATGCTCTCTTGTACTCAAGAACCAGTTTAGAGCTGACTTTGGGCGCTTCCAAAGCCCTTCTATTCTGGACCCACCCGTGAACCACGTGAGCCGCTTCGAGATCAGTGCAGGCTCTCGTTCCATCAACACATCCTGGTCAGGAAATTGAACCAAGAAGTAGGATGAGAATCAAATTGGAGGGCCATGCTGTCCTGTACTATAAAGAGCACAGGAAAACAATCGAAGGCCTGTCTCCAGATGTAACAATGGCCCTTCTCACCATTAATTCCCAACCAGTAGCCAAAGCAGTTAAGACGATATGCTGCCATCATGGCTCCATGATCTACAATAAGATGTAGACAAGGTAAATCGAGACGCCAATGCATGCCAACCGCTGGAGGTGAGTCAGCTGGGCCTTACCTGAAGCAAGTCTAGCCCGGGGCCACCACACAATAGCTGCATACGTCAAGATAGGTATCATCTTATCATGGATTGATACATCCAATATAAAAAAAAATTTTCGACCCCATATGGCTCCGAAAGCTTTTCTGCATGCCCAGAATGCTGCCGCGGCCTTTTCACCTTGCCGTCAGATGTTCCTTCCATGAAAGTTTAGAATAGATTTAGAATTATTTATCTACAATAAATTTACATAAATTACACGAAATAAAAAGCATGCTAAATACTAAATAAACATAAAATATCACTGTAGTAGAGCTACTATAAAATTGCATGACATAATTCATTTGTTAAAACTAATATAATTGTAAAATAAGTGAGATTTTAAAAATTAATAAAAAAAATCCTTTTTTAATGTAGGTGATATTATGTATATCGGTCCTTGTCCTTGTAACGTACGGTTAAAATATTCTAAAAGTGCCGGTAGAGATGGCGTCTATACTCAGCATTATAGTCGGTGCATGACAGAGAAAGTATTCGAAATAATGAAATAACAAATTTTACGTCAAATATGTCAAATTTCATTATTTGTAATATATTTTCTCTCCAACGTTATAGTCATACACCGACTAAAATGCGCATAGACGCCATGCCCCATGCCCCACCGGCACCTTTAGAATTTTTCAACTGTATGTATGTTTAACGTATGTGTATAAAGTAAAATCAATTTAAAAAATACAAATGCAATGCCGTTTAGTTCTTTGACATTAATAATAACTTAGAACTGTCAAATAACAGTATTTAAAACAAATATTTTTTAAATAAACTACTTTTCACCATTCTTTGTTTACTTTTAATAACAAAATAGCAACAAAATACAAACGATTTATACTTAACCCATTCGCTGCGTGTACCTGCACGTCCACTCACACCTACTGCGTTTTGATTAGTGGCTAAGTAAATTCGAACGGAGCTCTGATGCCAAATGGCGGCGTGCGCACTAGGCATCAGATCATAGCGCCGCCAAATGGCGTCATACGCAGTGAATGGGTTAAAAATGTTTATGTAAGAAAAGTAGTTTTTCTAATTATATTGCTGAAAAAGATAAATAATTTTAAAGTAGAAAAGAGTAACTCAAAACAACAGAACTAAAGAAGAATGTTTACTGGGACTTCTTTTGAGAAGGGTTTGGTGGGTTTTCTTGTTCAGAACTCTCCGGCTCCATCTGACCCTGAGGGTCTAGAGAACGTCTTAGGTTTTCAATGAAACTGGGGTCACTAGTTGGCAAATTTCCTGGAGCACTTTCGCCACTGCCAGTGTTTGTTTCCATGAGATTCTGGGGATCTATAGAACGCCTGAGCTGTTCGACAAAAGTCGGGTCGGTACTTAACATTCTGTTAGCCAGTGTTTGACCTCTGAAATAGGAGAAAAAATGTAGATAGAGGAAATGTCACTGTTACATCAATTTCTATGATGTCAAATAGAATACACATCCTCTACATATCTCCACCATACAGTTCACCAAAAATAGCTGAAAGTCTGAAATTCTAACTGCCTGCGTGAACAATGAGGTGAGAACGCACTCGGAAGGAAAAATATAACCTGTACGCGGGGGTGAACTTTAAAATATAGGTACAATGGGAGACACAAATATTGAAACGTAAAGTTTGAATAGTTTCTAATAGGTCGGTCCCGTACACAATTATTATTACTGTCATTACTTTTCTTCAGTATATTTCAGTATATTTGTGGTATTTGTTCTACAAAGTGAGATGTAAAAAAATAGATCCAACAAAAACTGCTTGTGTTGCTATAAATTATGGCATTATAAATCGTGGCTACGAGTATCATGGATTCAAAGAATGTCAAACATGGAAGTAACTAGAAGGATAGGAAATGAGGCGGAAATAATATTAACTATTAAAAGACGAAAACTTGAGTACTTGGGACATGTGATGAGAGGGCAAAAATACGCATTATTACAACTTATTATGCAGGGCAAAATCCGAGGAAAGCGAAATGTGGGAAGACGAAGAATATCCTGGCTTAAGAACTTAAGGGAATGGTTTGAATGCAGTAGTGCAGAACTTTTTAGAGCGGCAGTCAACAGAGTCCGCATAGCCATGATGATTTCCAACCTTCGATAGAAGATGGAACTTAAAGAAGAAGAAGAAACCAAAAATTATATTTTTATATTGACCATTTATACTTTATATTACCCATAGCAGTTAAAGATAATGGACAGTAGAAGAAGCACTAGTTAAGTGCCGAATAGATTCACGGTACAAAATGTTAAGCCACAATATAATATATCAAAACCCACTATGAGAATTCAGCTAGACAGAGATTTGCAAAATCCATTAAGTAGAATTTCTAGAGGTGTCAGACAAGGGGATACAATGTCACCCAAACTATTTTTTTAGAGCGGCAGTCAACAGAGTCCATCCCGAACAAGTCTGTGCAGAAACCAAACAGATAAGATAATTAGTGAACCAACGCAAATAAAATCAGTTTGGAAAAGCCATTTCCAAGCTCTGCTAGGAGCACAAGGAAGCTCACGATCTTCGGATTTGCGGCACATCGAGGAAGGAGATGAAGAAATAAGCAGCCCGACTCTTAAAGAAGTCAAACAAGCAATACAGGCGCAAAGAAACAACAAAGCGCCGGGATTTGACGATGTCCCTTCCGAACTGTATAAATTAGGTGGCGAACATCTAACAACGCAGGTGCACGCGCTCATATCTAAGGTATGGAGGGAAGAAACAATTCCTAGCGATTGGAAAAATGGGATTATCTGCCCAATCTACAAAAAAGGGGACAAACTTAAATGCGAAAATTACCGCGGCATAACCCTCCTATGTTCGGCCTACAAAATTTTTACATCCATCCTGAATAGGCGACTTCAACCATTATGTGAAAATATTATCGGCGAATACCAGACCGGTTTTCAACAGGCAGGTCGACAATAGATCAGCTTTTTACAGTAAAGCAAATCCTTAATAAAGCTTGGGAACACGATATTGATGTTCACAATATATTTGTCGACTTCAAACAGGCTTACGACTCCATAAATAGAAGCCGGTTATATAACATCATGGAAAGCTTCAATATTCCCTCGAAATATATCCGACTAGTAAAAGCAAGGATGGACTCCACAATAGCAACTGTACGCATACAGTACGAATTAACTGACAGCTTCGAAATAGTTCAAGGGCTGAAACAAGGTGATGGACTAGCTCCAACACTGTTCAATCTGGCCCTTGAATTTCTCATCAGAAAGCTGAATGTCGGAAGAGCCAATCTCCTAACAAACAAATCTGTCCAGCTCGCCGCATATGCGGATGACATTAACCTCATGTCCCGCAGAGTGGATGATGCAGCAGAAACATATTCGCAGCTGAAAAAAACGGCCAAGGAGATTGGACTTGAAATAAATACACAGAAGACAAAAATACTAACACAGACGCGGACAAAGCGAACAAGAAATCAAATCAAAGTAGAGGATGACATTGAAACAGTGAAGAGTTTTACTTATCTGGGAGTCGAAATGAATACGGAGGGAACAGAAGAGGCCGAAATTCAGAAGAGAATAATGAAGGGAAATAAAGCCTATTTTTCCTGATTAACATATTCCGCTCCAAGACGGTACATCGAAAATCGAAACTTAAGGTCTATAAAACTATCATCAGACCGATAGTATGCTATGGATGCGAGACATGGGTTTTGACAGAAAGCACTAAACGAAGATTAGAGGTTTTCGAGAGAAAAATCCTAAGGAAGATCTTTGGACCCATCACTCAAAATGGGATGTGGAGATCTAGATATAACCATGAACTCTACCAACTGTTCAAAGAAGCACCTATTGCAGAGTTCGCTAGAGTACAAAGGCTTCGATGGGCTGGTCATGTGGTACGGATGGATGCCGACAGATTGCTGAGAAAGGCCTTGGATGGTAAAATGCAGGGCAGAAGACCAAAGGGAAGACCACGTAATAGATGGGAGAACGAAGTCACAGCAGATGCGCACAACTTATTGAACGTCAGGGCTTGGAGACGAGTGGCGCGGGATCGCCTTTGTTGGAGGCAGAAGTTACAGGAGGCCAAGGCTCAATTTGGGCTGTAGCGCCATTGGAAGAAGAAGTCAACAGAGTCCGCATAGCCATGATGATTTCCAACCTTCGATAGAAGATGGAACTTAAAGAAGAAGAAGAAACCAAAAATTATATTTTTATATTGACCATTTATACTTTATATTACCCATGGCAGTTAAAGATAATGGGCAGTAGAAGAAGCACTATGGCATATGGTTCTGACTGATAAGTTCTGACATATGGTGCCCAGACGTGGACGTGTACCAAAAGCAACTTAGATAGAATAAATAAAACTCAAAGAGCTATGGAAAGACAAATGTTGGGAATATCGTTGAGAGATAAAAAGAGGAACGACTGGATAAGATGCAAAACCGAAACAACAGACGCTGTCGAACATGCATTGAAATTAAAATGGAAATGGGCTGGGCATAACGAAAGATATCAGGATGGAAGATGGAATAAAGAAATTGGCCACTGGAGACCATATACTGCAAAAAGGTCAAGAAGTCGACCGCAAATGAGATGGAAAGATGACATTGAGCAAAGCGCAGGTCCAATGTAGAAAAGACAAACAGAAGACAGAGACAAATGGAGACAAATGGGAGAGGCCTATATTCAACACATGAATAGATTTTGGGCTATAGATAGATAGATTACCATTATACTGACCAAAAGGTTTCGGAGAAAAAGGGCGTAAGCTGTAGAGTAATAAAGTAGTAATAAAATCGTCTAATGCAATACTAATAGAAATTAGATGTTCGGTTCCGGTGAAGCATAAATATGGGGTCTTTGTAGCAGTACGTTTTGTTAAAAGCGGCCTTTATCTTTGAATATTTACCCAAAGTATGAACAAAGTGTAAACTTAAAAAAGTGAGATATTTAGTATTATATAATGAAGTCATAGATAAAATATTAAAAATAAGAATGCAAAATACTTTGTAATGTGATTATTAATGACCGTGTAGGTGCCCTATAAATGGTTAAGCCGGGAAATTAAAAATTCTTTCTGACTCAGAATCCGAGTCCATCTCCTCATTTTCAGAATCACTGTCACTATCGACATCTACATTTATAATTATTTGATCCACCACGGTGTCAAAAGCTGGCTGTTGGGCCATATAACTTTGTCCTATTTTTATAACATGTTCACACCTCTTTTTCCATTGTTCGACTGAAAACGAATTAAAAAATTCATCACACAAACTTTCCACTAATTTAAAATTAAAACTGACATTTTTTTCAGCGACATATTGCTTCATCGAAGTCCATACTAACTCTATAGGATTCAAATCCGGATGATACGGGGGTAATCGTAAAACTGAATGTCCTTTATCCTCGAGTATTTTGTCAATTTCATATGTTTTAAGGGGAGGTTTATGTAGTTTTATGTCGTATAGTTCAAATTTCAACATGTCATCTGTAAACGAAATATTTTGAGTTATCAGCCACTGCTGCATTTCAGCTTTTCTAGAAGACATAGTTGGACATTTCTCAGTTTGTACGTTGTGATACGGTGCATTATCAATCACTAAAACGCTGTTCGGGGGCAAATTTTATATCAGCTTATCCTGAAGCCACTTTTTTTAATTGTCGTAGTTCATTGCATCATGATAATCTCCTTTTTTTATAGTAGGTTTGTAGCGCAGAAAAGCGTTTTTAACAAAACCATTTTCACCTCCAGCATGCACTATCACAAGCATATGTCCTTTAGATACTGGTTTGTGTAGGCCCTTGTTTGAACTATCAGACCAGCTCTTTTGGTAGGTATGAGATGAAAGGATGTATGTTTCATCCATGTATACAGGGTGAGTCACGCTCAACGGGACGGAGCCTACCGGGGAAATGGCTAAAGATATTAAAAATTCCTTTTGTAGGAATACGTAGGTCAGTACCGGCTACAAACTAAAATTTGTGAGATATATACAGGGTGTCCCACTTTGGCGTAATGATATAAACTTATACTTTTTTAAATGGAATAACCTATATTTCACTTTAATTTTGAATTCTACTGAACAAAATAATGTTACTTTATTCAACATTCCCTATACCTATTTTTGACCGGTTTCGATTTATTTGGGTTTTTCTGAAAATGTACTATTCGCGAAATTAATTAATTACACAATATCGCATCAATTATAATTAACGCCTTTTTGTCAATTAATTTTCAAGTGTCCATGCTTTACATCAGAATAATTACCAATTGAAATTAATCTACAGAGTGTTCGCAATACGAAGTGTTAATGCTGTATAACAGTTTGTGTAATTACTTTCTTAACTTAAATGGGACACCCTGTATTTTACTTTAATTTTGAATTCTAATCAAAAAATAATATTACTTTATTAAACAAACCCTATTAATTTGGGTTTTTTTGAAAATGCACTATTCTTGAAATTAATTAATTACACTTTATTACATAAAGTTAAACAAAACACACTAGAACAAAATTAATTTACATTAAATGTTCAACATGGTGTCCATTTTCTTCAATACATAACCTCACTCTGTGTTCAAAATTTTGTTTTACTCTTCTTACCATTTCTGGAGTAACTGTTGCAAACGCATTACGAATACGCATTTTCATGTCTTCAGCGGTTGTAGGTGGAGTTTGATAAACCAAACTTTTAATATATCCCCAAAAAAAAGTCCATTGATGTTAACCCAGGTGATCTAGGGGGCCAATTGACAGCACCACCCCTACCTATCCACTTTCCGGGAAATTTTCTGTCTAAATATTCTCTAACGTTACGCGTGTAATGTGCTGGAGCACCGTCTAGCTGCAGAAACATTGTTCTTCTAATATTTAAAGGGATATTTTGCAAAATTATCCAAAAGTCTCTTCGTAGAAATCTTAAAAACTTTTGTCCATTTAAATGGCCATTAAAAAAATACGGTCCTATCACATGTTCTCCTATTATTCCACCATATACATTAAGGGACCATCGGTTTTGTCGATCAGTACATCTATATTCATGTTGATTTTCCGTATTATAATAGTGAATGTTATGTCGGTTCACGAGTCCATTATTATGGAAAGTAGATTAATCAGTGAACAAAATTTTATCAAAAAATGTTGATCTGCTCCCGTTTTGTCTAGAAACCATAAACAAAATTCTAACCTAAGTTCAAAATCAGTTCCATACAAATGCTGATGCATTTGAATATGGTATGGGTGATATTGATATTTTTTAAGAATTCTGCATATACTAGTTTGGCTTACTTCAATCTCCCTGGCCATCGTCCTTGTATTTGTATTTGGATTTTCAATAACTGATTGAATAACTTCTAATTCGGTATTTTCATCTTCAGTTATCGGATTTATTAATTTTCGGTTAGTATAAACAACACTACCAGTTTCACGAAACCTTGTTAAGACTCTGTCAAATACTTCTTTACGAGGATGACGTTTTAAGGGAAATCTCTCAGCATAGACTCTTGATGCTAACAAACTGTTTTGATCACAGTCACCCAGTATTAAAATCATATTTACTCGGTCTTCAATTGAATAATCTGCCATTTCTATTTAATTGAAAGCAATACAGTTAATAGTTTGACAATTAGCTTGACAGCTAGGTATCTTTTGTTTTTTCATGGCATTCTTTATAATAACGAGCTATGTAATTAATGACATTTAATGTTCCAGGTAACATAATGCAAATAGATTTGAAGATACTAGATATTAATATAAAATTTTATAATAGTTTGATTATAATAATTGTTACAACATTCAAATACAGGGTTTTTGATTAAGTTAGAGTAGAACTTTATGTAATAAAGTGATAAAAATTAATTAATTTCAAGAATACATAGTGCATTTTCAAAAAAACGCAAATAAATCGAAAATTCTCAAAGATAGGTATAGGGATTGTTTAATAAAGTAATATTATTTTTTTAATTAGAATTCAAAATTAAAGTAAAATACAGGGTGTCCCATTTAAGTTAACAAAGTAATTATACAAAATATGGTATAGCATTGACACTTCAGATTGCGAACACTCTGATCACATTAGTTTCAAATGGTAATTATTCTGATGTAAAGCATGGACACTTGACAATTAACTGACAAAAAGGCGTTAATTAAAAATCATGCGATATTGTGTAATTAATTAATTTCGCGAATAGTACATTTTCAGAAAAACCCAAATAAATCGAAACCGGTCAAAAATAGGTATAGGGAATGTTGAATAAAGTAACATTATTTTGTTCAGTAGAATTCAAAATTAAAGTGAAATATATGTTGTTCCATTTAAAAAAGTATAAGTTTATATCATTACGCCAAATTGGGACACCCTGTATATATCTCACAAATTTTAATTTGTAGCCGGTACTAACCTACGTATTCCTGCAAAAGAAATTTTTAATATCTTTAGCCGTTTCCCCGGTAGGCTCCGTCTCGTTGAGCGTGACTCACCCTGTATAATTGGGCGATATGCGTTCCTGTAATGTTTCATACAACGTAAGAAATTCAGCCTAAGATGTTGAATATTGGGCTTTTCCATTAATAATTTTCTATTTTCGTAGGCTTTCTATGGAACCTGAGTAGTTGTACTCCTCTGCATATGTTCTGTGTATGCGTTTCACAGTTGGCACTTGTTTTTGTTTTATACAAAAATCCATTATATAACGTCGAAAATCAAAATCGCCCAAGCATGTTTTTGAAGCGCTTTTTCCCTCTTTTGTTTGGAGTTACAAATGAGGAACATTCGCCGTCTTCAATAATTGCATTTCCCGAGCAATTTTTTGAACGCTGCTTTAACTAACACCTGTTGCCAATACCACACGCTCTTGCACTTTTTTCAAATCTCTACACGGTTTATTGTCTTTGGCTTCCTTTCTCATAAAATGAATAACATTTGCTATCATTTCCCGTGTCTGATTATTTAAAACTTTTCCCTTCAGATTCGATTTAAACTCCATGTTTAATATAGGTACACAACACATATTTGCAAATTTGGAAATAACTCTCCTTTGCGGTTCGTACTTACAAAAAATGTTTCGCAGACTGTACCGACTTGTTCACGTCGCAAACGGTAGACGGCATTATGTGGACGCTCAGTGCGAGATCCATCGGATGACGAATGCGCATCATGGGCGTGGTTATTTTCAGACTTTCAGCTATTTTTGGTGAACTGTACTGTGGGTCATGGTAAGCCACTCAAGGGTAAATCCAGACTAAGAAAGTAATCAAGATATTTGATAAAAAAAGCTCTCGGCCAATTTGGTGAACCTTAATAGACGAGAGATTAAAACGGTCACCAAAATAGTGACTTGAAAATGTCATTTAAGAAAACACCTAAACAAAATAGGTAAAGAGAATGAACCATGGTGCACAAAATGAGAAATGGAAGAAGAGAGTGAAATACACATCATATACCATTGCAATGTGTTATAAGACAGGAACTCACTGGCCCACTGATGTTTAAACCAGAATAGATCCTAAAGCCACCAATGAGGAACATCTATTACGCTGGGTGCAGTAAAATTTTAATAAGTTTACCATTTGAACAAAATATTCATTGTATTAAAATCATTACTTACGTTTGAATTAAGACATCTAAATTTGGATCACCACTCTGGTTTGTAGACATAAACCTGGACATTCTAAAAAAAAACGAAAAATGTTTAAATACAAACAACGGAAGACTTATTGCATTATCTCTAAAAAGTGTTGTAATGCTATAAAATATGTGATCTATATGTTCACTGCAGTTATTATTGTTATAAAAGTACTTACAAATTTCTAAAATTGGTGTCGCTAAGCATTTGGGTTGCCATATTTATCAAGTTTGGATTATTAATAAACTGGGACATGTCTAGATTGCGATGATCTGTTGGTGCAGCAGATTCTGAAAACGAAAAAAGAGAGGATCTTATATATATATATTATATATATATATATATATATATATATATATTTATATATATATATATATATATATATATATATATATATATATCTTATATATATATATATATATATATATATATATATATTATAATTAAAGTAAAGACACAATTATATGGATATAAATATATCCATATTTTGAGCTAAACTGTCATTAAAGCTTCTGAATAACAAATTCAGTTTTCTTATATGTATATTATTATATTATCAACACTGTCCACACATTTACAACTGACCAAGCATTGAAAACGTAGCCTTAATTTTCTCTGAGAAAATTTCATTTCATGTAGCCTTCTCATTTGAGAAAATTATCCAAAGAAGATTATATGAAGAATAAAACCAACATATTTCAGCACACCAGTTTGGATTTAAGGAAAATCATCAATAATCCATCCTCTTTACAATAGTAACATCTAGTGTACATGCAGCAAGATTACAAGAATTGAAAACTGCCGGAGTTTTCTTGGATATCAAGAAGGCTTTCGACTCCGTTTTACATAAAGGATTATTATACAAACTTCACAAGATGGTGAAGACATTTGCTACTATTGATTTTTGGTGATTTTCTTAACAAGACACAGGTGTATAATCAAAATTAATGGAACATATTCCCAATCATTTTCAATGCAACAAGGATTTCCACAGGGTTCACCGCTGTCTCCTATTGTATAACCCCTACTGCAGTGACATACGTGAAAATGAACTAACCAATGGTAATTTTTTACAATTTGGGGGATGGCACAGCAGTGATATCTTATGGTCAAAATTTAATAGATTGAGTTCAAAACCTCCTGGACCTAAAACACTCATTTGGTGACGATAAAATCTGATATTACTAAAAACATTTTTATTTGTCTGTAGTGCATTCTCATACCAAGAAAGAGTCGAACTAGTGTTTGCATAAGTAAAATAGTTGGAGTATTTTTTATTTTCTGCGAACAGTCATCTTTTATAATTTATACTGAGATACTAGAAATGTAAGTTAAATTATGTTCATTTTAATATTCTTTTGCAAATAACTGATATGTTTTGTATACACTTATGACAAATTTAAGACGTTCTTTAAGCTCATCTTACGAAACATACGCGTTGCACCAATGAATCTTAGATCAATTTTCAGCTCAAACCGATCCTAATCTCAAGTCCTCGTTATTCTCAGCTTAAGTTGCTGTCTGAGTTTAAGATGAGCAATCTAACCTCAAAAAATTGACAGTTGTGTTGTGAAATACAGATACACATTTTTTTTTTATTTTCACCTGTATCTGTTACAATCTAAAATAAATAAAACAAGGAGAGTTACTATGTAAGATATAATAAATATTTAAATTTAGAAAAAAAAACTATGTATGATCTGATGACAAGAAAAACTTATTAAGTACACATTTCAGTGAATTACAGCTTTGCTAGTGTTTAATGTTTGTTGCATTTTTGCAAGAAAAGGTCAACAACTACCATAATCAGCTATATAATATAGAAAAACTCATATAATGTAGATTATGATATTGGTTGATTGAGATAGGCCAGAAAAAGGTACAAGAAAAGTAAATGGTCATTTACTGTAACATATATTTTAATGACTTTTTATATTTTAATCTGTAATTAATAATGTGACGTTATTTGCTCAATTATGTTTAAAAATTTATGCAAATAAAAATTAAGTCTACTCTACTCTACTCTATTGTTTTGATGCTGTACAATGTGATAGTCATTGTCAGAATTATCAGCCTTACCAATATCATTAATGAAAAAGTTAAAAAACAAGAGACCACAATGAGACCCTTGTGAGACACCAAAACAACAACGGAATTCTTTTGAAATATAATTTTTAATATGAACTTGCTGTGTATGTCCCATCAGAAAACTTTTAATCCAATTAACAATGGGGACACCAAAGCCAGTTTGTGAACAAAAAGATTATGATTCACCTAGTCAAAGGCCTTTGAGAAATCACTGTAAATGCTGTCGACCTGAATTCTATTCTCAAATGCACCCAACAAGTATTGTTGATAATTGACAAGGTTTTGTTACCATTGACTTCGTGTTAGAAAGTCCATGTTTTTCATGAATGATTATGTTTCTGCAAGACCAGGTGAGATTTATTGATAACAATATCAAGAAGTTTCGGGATTACTGATTGAACCTTTATAATGATTAACACACTCACGATTGCCATAGTTACAGATAGGCGTAAGAAAACTATTTTTGCAATATAGTGGAAATACAGACTATAATAAATTAAAAATTTGTTGTAAGGTTCATAAACGGAAAAAATACAGATCTTAATGAGTACTGCAGGTATGCCAACAGGCCCTGAAGAATATGTAGTTTTAAAACTCATAATCCCCTCACTATATCCCCACACTAGAGTTGAATTCAAAATTAGGTAAATTATACTCACTATTATAATATGTACTTAAAAAATAAGTGGCAAATAGATTGACTATTTCCTCGGCACTCTGAGCTATTACATCCCCATCTTTATTAGACATTACATTATAATAAGCACTAAACCACATGTAGCACTAACATGCCTCCAAAAGAGCTGTGTTTACTTGAAAAATTTGCTTGAATATTCTCTAAATAAGTCTTATAACATACTGCTTGTAATGATTTACATATTTCCCTTAACATCAAAAATTCCTCATATGAGTTGCCTGATGCTTTAAAATTCCTGTGAGCTATCTTTGTCTCGACAAGTTTTGCAATAAAATTCCACACACATGATTTTTGGTGTAGATTTTGAAACAGATCTGGAACCTCTTTATTTTTTTTTACACACAGATTCAATTTGAGAATTAAAACATTCATTCCTGTAAAATTTTTGATCATATACCTCAGAGAGGATTTTTACACCATCTTTTAACACAATGGCATTCTTTGACAGGCAAAGCATGTACCACCCAGTGTTCCCAAGCCTACCGATAAATCAGTAGATGTACCGATTTCGCCGTTTTTCTACCGATGTACCGAAAAGGACTTAAATTCTACCGAATTTTATATTCAGATAGAAATTTTTACTTATTCTTAAATTTGAGAAGAAATATGTAAGACACAAAACAATTTTTCTTGCGATACCTGTAATTTGCATTGAGCATTTTTGTGTATTCATGAAAACGTGTGAAAACATTCAAAAATTTATTCTTAAATGATACCTAAGCGGTACTTTACAAAGTACATGATGTCATAAAAGCTAATAATACAATAATAAATGAATCCAAATCCATTATTGTGATCCCGACCACTTGGTTCTGGGAATTTGTCAAGGTAGGAGACTTAAAACCGGAACAATGCATAGTTAATCTAAGCTTCCGAGTGCACTTCACGTAAAAACTCGGTAGTCTGTTTCTGTTTGTTGTATAATATTTCCTTGTAAAGGGTTCATACTCGAGTTTCGAATTTAAAATGGGACGGAACACCAACGTTTTCTCACTTAATAAGTTTCATTTTCAACCTTCTATCTTTGCCACAGTCTTCAGCAAATGTTGAGCGAATATTTTCTACTGTGAACATACTTAAAACCAAACAGAGAAATCGGTTATCAACGGAAACAATAACAGGTATTTTACACGCTAAAAGATATATAGCTGGAGAAGGGGAAAACACCTGTTATAATTTTGAAATTGGAAAATCACTAATGTCCTAAATATCAAATGATCGTTGGTTTGAAAAAGAAAATGAATAGGCTTTACTCATCATTTTTCATTTTATGTTTGTTTAAGTTAATAACTTGATTTCTCTGTTTTGGATGAAAAGGTCTTTTGTTATAATCATCTTTATAGGAATTCATCAGTTAAGAGTTAAGATTTTAATCAGTTTGAGTTTATATTTATATATTTTTTTCTTAATAAGTGTTGATTGTTTCTGATTTGTTTAAGATCTAATATCTTCTGTTACTTATTAAAATTTTTTTATTTGTTTTACTGTTATTTCAATGTTTCATTTACTTTGAGATTATATTATATGATTTGAGAATTATATGGTTTAAAATGAACATGACAAATAAAGTTCTTAAGTTCTCTTTTTTTCTTTCGTCTACTTATACTTCAGACCAATCCATTATAATATAAATATGTAGTATATGTACCCAATATAAATGTGACAACAGAGAGAAGCCTTATATTTCCCGCTTCGTTATTGTTAATTGTTACATGTTACTGCAAGTCAAGTGCCAACATGCCAGTAGTGGCAACCTCGTTTTAAGTTCAGTATTTCGGTTTTCATTTTTTTATTTTATTAAATTTAAATGAATAAACATATTTTATTTTTTCTTAAATAAACCAATTGCAAAACATGAAATTTAAACAAAATATTATATTTTGAAAGATCTACCGATTTTACTCCACAATGTACCGATTTTTTAAAAGAATTCTACTGATTTTATTTATTTACGTTTGGGAACACTGGTACCACCACACCTATATTCAGTTTTATTATTGGCATACTTGCAACTTAAGACAATCATTAACAGATTTATCTCTTCTAAAAAACGTTCAAGTCATCAGAAAACAAAATGAAGTAATATAATAGCAATCTCAATAATATTAATATTAGTTAAGGACCTTAAGTGACATACCAAACACCACTGGTGATTCTCTTGCTTAAATAAGACAGATCTACAAATATATATACTAGTCAAACTAAAAAATATATTTTATTTGAGTGGATCAGGATACTAAGAACAATAAAAATATTTAGTGTAAAATTATGTGTAACAATTATTTTATTTAACTTACCTCTATTGCCAAATAATTTCTCTTCTGCAAGTTTATAATTAGCCTCATACATTTCATTGCCAGGATCATGTTTTAGAGCTTCCGCATAAGCTTTGCATGCTTCTTCATACCTGTTTAAGTTGGAATAAGCAATTCCAAGGCGTCCATATGCCTTTCCATATGTAGGATCTAGTTTTATTGCTTGTTGACAATCATTTATTGCATCTAAATGTTTTTCTAGTCTACTATAGGCAGCTGCACGATTGCAATAATATACCGCATTATTTGGGTTTATATTAATTGCTCTGAAATGTTTAAAAAGTCATTAAGTGTGTACTTTACAGAAAGGATGATTATATAAAAATGACATACTTAACAGGACATTTTCTAAATACAAGAATAAAGTAACAAACACTTTATAAAATGTTGTCTGAATCAAAAATGGGAACAAATAGCCCAAAAACACAAAGCATAATTTAGTGGTGTGGATTTTGATTATTTTGACTTACTTCGTATATTCAGTCACTGCTGCACTGTATGCACAATTTTTCATGTGGGTGTTTCCATTGTTTTTATATATTTCAGCCTCTTTAATCTGGTCTTCTGTAACTTCAGCCTAAAAATATATTATTAACAAAATTATTAAAACATTTACACTTTATATAAAATATATAAGTAATTTAAAATATATTCTTAAATTACTTAAGGAAAACCAGTTCTTAAAAACCAAATAGTACAGAAAAATATGAAATTAGTAAAAGAGAACATCAGGTGAAATGGATAAATAAATGTTACATATCTATTAAGTACTCACCCTCCTGGTTACTGGTATCAATGAAAGTAAATCCAATTGAGTTTTTGAAGCTTCATTCTTAATATCTGACTGAATATCATATGCTGTTTCAAGGCACTGTATCGCTACTTCCACAGACTCTTTTTTCTCTTCATTCATATTTCCATTAACAACTTCATCTTGCAGGAAGTTAACTACATGAGCCATAAAATACTTTTTTGTATTTTCTAAATCCATTTCCTAAAAAGAAAAATAGTAACTATCCCATTGCCACCTTATCAGATCACTAAATAGTTGAGTAATGTTGGAGTAACATACAAGTCATGCACATTTATATTTCACATAATATATTCATTTTCAATATCAAAAAGTTGATAATAACATGTATAATTAACTAAAAACTTCACAAGTTGATAACTATCTGAAAATTTCATTACAAATGTCCATGCTGATGACAAACCTGGCATTCAGCAACAAAAATAAAGGAAATTAAAGAAAAAAACTCTAGTTTAATTTAATCAGGATCAGAGTTCCCTATTAACCCGGCTCTATAGAGATAATATTGGAATAAAATAATAATTTATGTAATTTTAAACAATACTAGTACTAGAATTAAAAAATATCGGTACATAAATGCCTTCTTCCTACAGGTATATACATCTAGCAAGTTCATATATCACACCACCACTTCCATTCTAATATTAAAACTAAATGGAGTAATTTATTCACTGTACTATCAATAACATGTTATTCTCTTAAATCAACTTACCACTTTGTTAATTAACTTGCAATCCAATACACAATTATATTTTAATAATCTAAGACCGTTTACAGTGGAAATGGCGGGATTGAGGTTAATGTTGTTTTTACAAATTGTGTTATTTCAAGTAGTTTGGTTGGCTATTGCTGACAGTGCAATAAAATGACAAGCCAAATATTAATGGTCTGTGATTGCATAAAAACAAATTTTTAGTGACAGTGACTGAGATTCTGTTTGGTATAAAAACCGATCCGAAATTCTTATATAACTCGGTAAATTTTTAGAACTTTTATCCATTAACGTTTCAATTAATTAATCGCAGTGGCTCGAAGATTGTTTAGAAAAATGTTAATGATAAAATATATTTTTGAGCTTCTCAACTCTGCACAAATATCTTTCGGGTTTGGGCGTTTAGGCCATGATTCTTTAAAAACAGAAGAAGACTGAATACACACATATTTTTCTCAATATAACCCTACTTTCTCAGTTCATCATAATTAAGCTTATAAGCTTATTTATTTAAATATAATATTGCTCAGCATGGGTCATGATTCTGAGATCACTGCTTTTCTTAATTTCCATAAAGACCAATTAATAAGATCAGGTGTGCCGGAACATTTCTGGAAAAGCTTATACAAAAAGTTGATAAGGCAGACATTTGATGCTTCCAATACTTTTGATTTACTAAAAATTGAACGAGACGACGACAAAGATGATGTGATACGATCGAGCTTACTTCTTCAAGCTTCTAAAGATATACAAACATCAGATCCTGATCATATCTATCTTATAGATCATGCCTGGACTTACAAAATTCAAGATGCAAAAAATCAGCTTCGGGCTCATGATGCCCTTCGGCAACGACTTTGCAACGTTTTCGACATAGACACAACTCAAGATAAACATGAAATAGCCAATTTATTGTTTGAACATATGTGGAAAATTAATAATTACTATTGTATAAGTAATAATGAAAATGTGGAAGACAGGTTGCCGATTTGGTACATAATGGATGAAGTAGGTATTGCAGTAATACATAGTGATGACCCCAACTGCAGGATAGTACCTTTTGTGTATGTAAATGATCAAATTAGTTACTCAATTCTATTTCCAATTAAAAATATAGAGAAAGAAGATATACTTTGCAGAGACTTTGGAGAAGGAATTATAGATAAGAGAAAAAGGGATGCCTTCTTAATACCTTGGGTTCCACAATTATTTGAGGATGATGTAAATCCAATCACCCCATCTGAGGAATATTTTCTTAGTGGTCATATAAAGGAAAGTTTACCAGATTTGTCAAAATTGGAGAATATTACTAGACAAGGAAATATATTAAAAGTATTTTCTCAGTATAGCTTAGTCAACATGTATTTAACTAATCAAAAATTCAGTATAGTTGACAATGAAGATGAAGCAGATATTTTGTGGTATACTCAGCATTTCAAAGATTTTAAAACACTTAGTGAAACTCCAGAAAAGTTTGTAAACCAATTTCCATTTGAGTATGTTTTGACAGTAAAGGATCTTCTGTGTATTATCTGCAGAAGGAAAACTGGTATAAAGTGGGTTCCTACCTCATATAATCTACAGACAGAACTTCCAAATTTTGTTAGTTACTTTCAAAAAAGACAACAGGATGGTAAAGATAACTACTGGATAGTTAAACCATTCAATTTAGCTAGAGGATTAGATATGCATATAACAGATAATCTAGATTATATTTTAAGAATGTCCCATACAGGTCCTAAAATTGCTCAAAAGTATATTACCAATCCAGTATTATTTTACAGACCTGAGTGCAATGGGAAGGTTAAATTTGACATTAGATATGTCTTTTTATTAGAAAGTGTTAAGCCACTTAGAGCTCATGTATATAAAAACTTTTTCTTGAGATTTGCCAACAAAACATTTGAACTGAACAGCTTTGAAGATTACGAAAAACATTTCACTGTCATGAACTACACAGAAAATGCAAATCTAAAGCATATGAAATGCATAGATTTTATAACAAACTGGATGCTTCAATATCCAGATTATGACTGGGAAAAGGTAGAAAATTCCATTTTTAAAATGTTAAAGGAATTGTTAGAGTGTGCTACAATGGAAGATCCACCATGTGGCCTAGCCCATAGTCCACAATCAAGAGCCTTATATGCTGCTGATATTATGCTTGAATGGACTGAAGATAAAGAAATTCAACCCAAACTTTTAGAAATAAATTTTACTCCTGATTGTAAAAGAGCTTGTGATTATTATCCAGATTTCTTCAATGATATTTTTAGTGTGTTGTTCCTTAATGAAAGTAAAGATACAATTGTACAGTTATAAATTTTATTTTTATACTCAATAAATATACTTTGATAAATACACTTTTTTTATTACATATATACATATTAAAAGAAAATATAAAAAATGATATTACAATGCAGTAAAACCACTATATAATGGACTTCAGATATAACAGACAAAACATCTGGTCAGTAAAACTGCATTTTACAAAAAATTTCAATAAAATTTAGCATAAGAGGAGCATAATTGGGAATACTGCCAGAAGAGGTGAAATGTTTATTGCTTTTAGACAACGCTCCTGCTCACCCCTCTGAAAATATTCTATGTTCAGAAGATGGCAACTTTAGCTGTATGTTTCTGCCAAAAAATACATCACTTATTCAACCCATGCATCGCAGAAAGTTTTTAGACGAAGTAATGGTTGTATTGCACGATGGAGATAATGTAGAATATACAGGAAGACAGCGTAGCTTGCAAAACTTAAGGTCTTACAATTTAAAATCAACATTTTTTCTGCAGCATGGGAGGAGGTGAAAGAGCAAACATTAAAAAATGGCCAAGATGCATAGATTTAGAAGGGTTGGAATTTACTGATCACTGTAGGTCAATAATAATAATGCAGGGGAACATGTAGCTGAGGAAGATGTTTTACAATGGCTAGTAGTAGATCTAAAGAAGGTGACCCTGGGCTTGAGAACGTGACCCTGGATATAACATCATGACTGAAAGTGAAATAGCAGATGAAGTTATGAACCTAAAAAGTAAGGATGGGAGTTCCGTAATTTTATAGAGAGTTGATCATAAACAAATCACAGAAAAGGCCATCGTGTACAATAAACCAGCATACCTATGTTTTATAGACCTGACAAAGGCTTTCGATCGCATCCAAGTCGAATATGTCTTACACCTATTGTATAAAAGAAACATACCAATCAATATTATACAAATACAAACCATCGAAAACATCTACCTCCATAATCGAATACAGGCAAAGATAAATGGAAAACTAACACAGTGTATACCAGTACAAAACGGAGTTAGACAGGGTGACTCGTTGAGCCTACTTCTCTTTAATATAATAATGGACGAAATAATACAAGCAGTACGTAAAGGTCTTGGTTACAGAATGGGGAACAAATAAATCCAAATATTATGTTATGCAGACGACGCCGCATTAATCGCTGAGACAGAAGACGAGCTCCAAAGATTAACACATATCTTCAATACAACAGCTAAGAAATACAATATGATACTATCAGCAGAAAAAACCAAATGTATGACAACATCTAAATACCCACTACGGAGTAAAACCGAAATTGATGGGAAAATAATAAAGCAATAAGCAAGGTTTAGATATCTGGGAATAGATATAACTAGTTACGGAGATGTTGAAGAAGAAGTACGACAACAAAGCTAAAAAGCAAGTAAAGCGTCGGGTTCTCTTAATGACACAATCTGGAAGAACAAACACCTAAGACAAGACACAAAAACAAGAATCTATAAAGCAGCAATTAGACCTATATTAACATACACGGCGGAGACAAGCTAGGATATTACAGGAGATTTATAAAAGATTTTGCCAGATTAACCAAACCATTAACGAAATGTTTAAAAAAAGATGCTAAGATAGAACATACTCCAGAATTTGTAAAATGTTTCGAAGATTGCAAAAATCTATTAATTAACGAACCGATACTTCAGTATCCAGATTTTGATAAAGATTTTATATTAACTACTGATGCAAGTAATGTAGCAGTAGGAGCCGTATTATCTCAACTGGTAAATGGTCAAGACAAACCAGTAGCTTATGCCTCTAGAACATTAAACGAGTCCGAACAAAACTACAGTGTTATAGAGAAAAAACTTCTTGCGATAGTATGGGCAACTAAGTATTTTAGACCTTATCTATTTGGAAGACAATTTAAAATTATGACAGACCATAAACCCTTACAGTGGCTTATGTCTTTAAAAGAACCGAATTCACGATTAGTGAGATGGCGTTTAAAATTAGAGGAATTCGATTACATAATCGAATATAAGAAAGGAAGTTGCAATGCAAATGCAGACTCCCTATCTAGAATAGAGATTCATTGTAATGAATTTTTAAAATACATGGAAGAACACAATAAGACCTCCGACAAGGATCGATGATGATAACGTTTCGATGGCTGTAAATATCGACGACAATATTAACGAAGAAAACTTAGAACAAGGAAATGACCAAGATAACGAAATTGAAGATAATGATGATGACGGAGAAACTGTACATACTAGTATAGAAGATCCAATACTAGGATGCTTATTTCTGATAAAAATCTCAATGTTTTTGATCACCAAATTGTAATTGATTTTGTTTTACACTCAGCTGCCAAACCAAAAATTGAAAATATATTTCCCAACAGAAAACGACTTTATATCCAAATTTCAAAAAATAATATTGTAGAAGAAACTATTAATATATTCAAAAATTACATTGACCCAAAATACAAATATGCTGTGTACTTTAAAGAAGATACCTTTATACCAGAAATATTAGAAACGTTTAAAAAACACATTTAAAAATTCTGCCTACAAGTTAATAAAATGTAACAGCATCTTAAAAGATTTAGTAGACAAAGATGAACAGCATAAAAAGATAAGGTTATTTCATGAAGGAAAAACCAATCACCGTGGCATTCTAGAAACAGAAACTAGGATTAAACGCACCTACTATTGGCCAGGAATAAAACAAGATGTAACAGATTTTATAAATAATTGTAGATAATATTTGCCAAGTAAATAAATATGATCGTAATCCGCTAAAT